CCTCTTTGACAGTGACCAAGTAGTAATTCATTGTTGCCTACCGCTTGCCTTTTCAAAAAAGACAAGCGCCGTTCAGACTTTCATGAACTACGACTGCGTAGATAGCGACGTAATAAATAACTATATGAGATCCTTGGATTGGTGTGGCTTCCTCACTTGTAGCGATGTAACCATTCTTCGTGATGTCATGTCCAATGTTTCCAAGGACATTCTAGAGTTTGTGCCGCGTAGATATCTCAAGCCTACTTCTTCAGATTCCCTTGTTCCTCATTTTCTTCAGAACAGACTAAAAAAGTTGAGGCGACAACTGCGTGACCCATCCACTAGTTCCTTATCTGTTCATCTTAGAATCACAAAGATATTTGAGATGGCCTCAAGGATGCGCCAAGCGCGCGACAGGCAAAGAGAACCAATTGCTCTCAGTGGTTCGAACCCTGGCAAATCCGTCGCTAACATCTTCCGTCATCGGTCCTCCTCTAAGCGTAGTCATGAACTGCCACCCATGCTAAATGATAACAAAGTCTTCCTCACCGATGACACGGACAAGGCGGGGTTGTTTAGTGCTTTCTTTGCAAAACACCTTGCTACCGAGTCCGATCCGGTCCCTTTCTTTCGATCACTTTCAGATAGGACACTGAGTACAATTGATGTCTCCTCAGATCTCATTAAGAAACACATAAGCCGTTTGAAATACTCACACTGCTCAGGAACGGACGGGATTCCGAATTCGATTATTTAACAAGCGCCCGACCTTCCCATATTGCTTAGTCATGTATTCTCTGTTTATATTTCAAAAGGATTCTTTCCTGAAACATGGAAAACGTCAATTATCATTCCCGTTTTCAAGTCAGGACCTCGGTCCGATGTTAATAACTATCGGGGCGTGCACAAAACGCCGCCTCTAGCAAAACTTCTTGAAAGGATTATTTCCAATGAAATTCTTGACTTCTGTCTAGCTAATCGGCTTCTGAGCTCTAGTCAGCATGGATTTTTACCTGAACGATCCTGCGAAACATGCCACTTGGCTTTTCTTAATCTAATTACTTCTCTTCGTAATGAGCGGCAGTCAGTGGTAGTTATTTACTTTGATCTTAGCAAAGCCTTTGAAAAGGTGCCCCATAGACGTCTTTTAGTAAAATTGGAAGCTCTCGGCATCCGGCCGCCTTTACTCGACTTCATCAGGTCCTATCTGTCTAAGCGATATCAGAAAGTCATGGTCGGTAATAGCTACTCGACACCCCACTCGATCACGAGTGGCGTACTTCAGGGAACGGTCCTGGGTCCGCTACACTTTCCTCTGTATAACAATAATATTTCGACTGAACTCGGAAATTTGCAAGTTTTTACTTATGCCGATGACCTCAATTGTGTTTACTCATACTCTAAGGACACCGAAAATGTTTGTGTTGAAAAAATAAATGCCGATTTACTACGCTTAAGCAGATGGGGTTCGACATGGCAGATGGAGTTTTCATCATCCAAGTGTGCTTTCATGTCTTTTGGTCCTACCAAACTTTCTGGTCCCATAATTTTTCAGAATAACCCACTCTCAGAATGCCTCACCATAAAGGACCTAGGTCTAAGCTATACAAATAAACTTGCTTTATCACCTCATGCAGATAGAATCTCTGTCAAAGCCGCGCAGATATGTGGATTCATATCGCATAATTTTTTCCTTCCGGAAATGAAGCTAAGACTTTATCAAATGTTTGTTCTTCCAGTCCTCGAATATTGCTGTCCTTTCTTCGGTTTAATGAGCGCCTGCGACCGTAATAAAATCGAAAATGTTCAGAGGGTTTTCACTCGGAAACTGTTCTCTCAAGCTTCGTCCAGTAGTTCTTATACTCAGAGATGTCAGCTGGCGAACATAAAGTTTTTGTGGGTTAGAAGACTCGAAGCTGGCCTTTGCTTCCTTTTTCGCATCAACTCTAGCTCCAGTCTTCCGCACATTGACACTCTCACTCCGAGAGATCGGTCTCATGCCACGCGCAACTCCTGCATGGTGATTCCGCCGCCTCTTTGTACTACATCTAAGCGCTCCCTCTTCTTTGCTTCCAAATATGCCTTCCTTTGGAATAATCTTCCGCCTGAAATTATATTATCGCCTAAGTTACTGGTATTCAAGTCGAAATTACGCAACCATCTTACACCGGAAAGCATAAAGGCACTGTTAACGGTCTCATTCCCGAACACTCAGATTCTTGACTTCGAGAAGGGTCCTCCTGGGATTTAGTGGTAGATCTAGTGGTACCTCTTAATTATATCATTAGAAACCCCTGTTTTGAATTGGTTTCTAAATCCACTGCTATCACCCCTCCTCCATAGCGACAATTTTCGCGGTTTTTGATGTCATCTCCCGCATTCCGACCTCATGCGGTCTGTCGACGCTCACGGCGGAACCCTCAGTATTCACTGTCTACTAGTAGTTCGGTCGTACCTCCCTTCCTCACTGCTCGGCTGAGCTCGAAGCGTGCTGTGGCCGATCGCATCTCGGTTCCTCTCGTCTGGCCTCTTTGACGCGGCGTACCAATCCGGCCCAGACGATCTCAATTGTGAATCCCGTATACAATGCCATATGCAAGCCAGTTCTGTCTGACCCACATTCGTACCCATCAAGGCTGACATTTATTGCTTCCCTGACGATGATCGACAACATTCCGTTATATACCGCCACCTACAGGCCAGTCCTGCTCGCTTTTTTCTGTTATTATTTTTATGGAGGGTTTTTTTTTCTCCTGTAAAATTAATCCAATCATTTTTAACTTTTTGTAAGGAGTTTTTTTTCACCCCTCAATCATCATATTTCTCAATGGACTTCCAATTCAGAAACTATGAATTGCATTTTGTAAAGATTCGGCCTACCTCGTCTAAAACTCGCATGCAAATTTATTTTAACTTGCTTTGATGGGACCCCGACGGGTCTTTAATAAAAATTATCTATCTATCAATCTATCTAATCCAATTTATGAAAGACAGCATCATTGATAAACATAGAACAGATAGTGATATTCTTTCTTTTCTCCCTTTCTCGTTTCCATCAGCTATGTCACTTAACACCAAATATCCCTTAAGGAGTTAATAATAACATCCCTTTCGATAAAACCCTCCATATTAGTTGTGCGTAAGTCTATATTAAGGCAATCCGCTTGTAAATTGTGCTCCGATGAAAGCCATAATACTTGCGCTTCATGATTGCTTTCATTAATGGGTATAAAACAACATAAAAAAGTTTAACTACACTTGAAACGCTCACTGTGAGGTTAAAATTGCAGTTAAGTTAATAAACCTACTTGCATAGCATAAAATAGATTAGTAATGGCGTAAGTAATACCAAAAGGCGCAAAAGACATGAAATCGACGTGGGAAAACGTACCACTTCGTCGCGAGCGTCCGGTCGAGCAGCAGCAGAAAAATGGCACCCAAGTGGCCCACTTAAACAAAAGCGTCCTAATCGGCTTATCCAGGCAAACTGTCATCTCCCAAGAAGTGAAGACTCAAGGCACTTTCTGGGCGAATTAACGTATATTTAGCCAAATGCGCAACATTAAAACACAGAAGATTTCGTCTAAGCGGCTGAAACGACTCTTACAATTTCTCAAAATATGGCGTGGCCATGGCCACGTCCAGCCACGCTTGGCTACACGCACAAGGCGGGGTCATGTGTTGGCAGGGATATGTACAACTAAATTAGATCATAGTAAACAGTCGACCACTACTCCTATAATGTCACATTCACAAGAAAAATATGATACATGATTCAATCTTATTTTGACAGCTTTGATTGTGACTTGCCATTGAAGGTTTCTTACTCCTGATATATATTCATCTTTTCCAGCTCTTAGTCCAGACAACTATAGCAAGCCTCCTGAAAACACGAAAGAACTGTGCCACCGCCCCTTTACAGCTGGCCAGATAGATGACAACCAGCAACTAGTGTTGTAGCCGCGGCACACTCACCTTTGGTTGGTCGGGAAGGCTGCGTAGTTAGGGTTGTAGCTGGACCTGGGGTTGCTCCTAAAAAGGGTCCGTCGTCTGAGATTAGGGTCCTCCGAAACAACACTCATGGTTCCAACAACGGAGTCCACACAGACAGAGTATGTAACCGAAGTCGCTGATTAATGAGTAAACATATTTTGCGGTCGGAGAACAGGAGGAAAGAGAGTGAAAAAGGCATCGACGAATATAAAATAGAATAAAGAGGGAGAAACGTTTATATGGTTGTAGAGGTGGGCTCGTAGTAGTTCAGTGTTGTCCTTCCGACGGCAAAATACTAACGGATGCGCTCGCCTCGACGTCCTTGCCTGAAAACCAGAAAGGAACGATTCAGTTACGCTGCCCTTTTCCTATTGTCCGCCTTACTATTTTTCCCTCTCTTTAAGTCAAACAACCCGCTATTACACTAGAAAACACCCAAGTTTACCGAACTGGAAAATAATTTCAAGGTCAGGCCGATATCAAAGTTGTTCAGTTTCCACGAAGGACATATTATTCATGCCCAAAAAAACTACCAAACTGAAAACTTCAATTTTTATGTTGTACATATTGTTCTTTTTAAAAACTTTTGTGATTATTTTTCCCTGAAACTCAGGTTTTTATAAACTTAAAGCAAACTCTCAATTCGCGTTCTATTGGCTAAACAGACACCCAACACAAATGAAATTAAAGTGCAGTTTTAGGTTTTTTTTCCTGATTTCAACGGAGACTGACAGTGCCCGAAGGGCGCTATAATAAACCTATTCTATTGCATAAGTACTGCAACACCTGGGCAATTTACCATCCCTATCTGACTCTGTCTCTGATGATAGATTCGAGTGAGAATCCGAAACGTCAGGTCAATAAAGCTCTTGTTCCAGCGATCGTGTCTCCTTCCTCGCATTGAAGATATGGCCCAGAAAAAGGAAGACTAGTAGCTGGTTTTGTTTACTAGAAGACCTATGTATAGGAAAAAACTAAGGAAGGGACCTTATCACAAAAATAAACTGGGATTGGGATGATTGTCCATGGCGAGCGCTGGAGAGCGCAGGGATTCGGCAAAGATGGCAACGGAGGTACCTCGTTCGAGGAGCGGCGGCTTGCCACTGGGTTGTTGGAGGTTTATCCTCGACCGCATTTATAGCCTCTCTAAGCGTCAAGGTTGAGTCGACCATTGAGATTGATTGGGACTAGTCTTAGGACGAAAAGTTTAACAAACGTAAGCTAAGAGTATTCTCATTACTTTAGGGTTCTATTAACTTATAATATGCAAAATTTTTATGAAGAACTAAATTGTGACTAAGTGCCTGTCGCATAAATCCGGGAAAACTCGGCGCGCCTGCCCATACAGGGGCCAGGGGCGAGCCTTCTAGAACTTTCTACAACATGGCTTCGCATGAGCTGGCTTTCAAGAACTTTCTACAGCCTGTATTCAATCTCACTAGCAGCCAGCTTCTTACATTGCTTAGACAAAGGTTTTGGCAACTTTCCCGCAACAACGGAACAAAGAACAGAAAAAGTCGATCCGTAACGAGACATAAACTTGTTAAAAATTTCGAGTGCTCTTAGGTCTATTTTTTCATATTGACAATGGATTTCAAATAAGATGCTCGGAGTTTAGTTTCCTCCAGGTTTCTACGAAGGGTTGCCTGAGGTTTCATGTCGAAAAAGCAAAGCAAGACTTTAACCCAAATTAACAAGGATCATAGCTGTCGAAAATTTGAGGATATAAGGATGGGGCTATGTATGATTAAGCAGTTTTCGAAAGCAATCAATATTGGTAGACTAGACAGCACAACTGTTACTAAGCAATTTTTACTCAATAACAGAGTGTGAAATTGACAGAAAACAGGTAAATGACAATTTTGTAGGTAAGAAGACAAAACTATGAATAAAATTTTATTGAATAATGAGACTGCGTAGGATGAAATAGAGGACAGTGTAGTTCTCTTACCAGATAATAAATCGACAACGAAAGCGGTCGGTGGAGAAGATTTATTGTCGAAAGTAGAGTGTTTTACAAAAGTTTTACGGGGAATACCTTTTATATATAGGGGTAAAACTAAAAAAGATTGAGTCGTGTTAGGCGAATAATTATGACACTTTATGATAAAACACGACGGAAAGCTTAAATGACTTATAAACGAAAATAGGCAATTTTGTAAGATTTATACTTTAAAACTTTTCAAAAAATTAAGAAATCGATTAAAAATATAAATGTCACCAATCTTTTCAAAACCGTGCAGGGCGCGTTGACCTTGTGGTCAAGACTGGTCTATTGGTTATCAGAATTTAATTCAATTTATTAAATGCCAGTTTACAGGCATTGTCAAGGGAAGCGATTAAACACAAATCCGACCAGCAGCGAAAAAAACTCCTGAGCTAAAGGGATAAAAATATAGTTGATGGTGGTTTTTATGGTTTGGAGGGCTCAGGAGAAAAAACTGCCGGCGGTGGTAGAATATCGACCGTCAAGAAGGAGGGAGGTTGCACGGTATCGGAGATTATCGGACGTCAAATTCCTTTCATGAAGTTGGGGATAGTGAAAGTAGAGCCGTTGAGGAACAGCTGGTGAGACCGGCCATAGTGTTCAGAGACCACAAACGCCATCGCTACGGTACAGTCGATCAGTAGATTCAGCACCCAAAATTTGTGAGAGCTTTTCTGAATGCAAAAATCGAGTAATAGTTCTCTTAAATAAAGGATAATTTTGCAGAGTTTTCACACTCATGTGTAGTTTATTCCAAATAGCAATTGCATTTACAGAAAAGAACCGACGATATTTAACAGTACGTGCCAGGGGCAGAAATAAGAAGACCTCACGGTGACTGTTACGTCGTGGGTGGATATGATGTCTTAAAGTAGTGAGTGGATTAAAGGTGCGATTATATAAAAGCGTAAATAGCAAAATTAGTCCCTTTTGCAAACTACGGAACCATAAAGGATCGAGGCATGTAAGCCGGCAACGTTCTTGGTAAGACAAATGTCGGTGTTCTGGGGTTAAAGTTCTCTTATTAAAAAAGTTTTGAACGGATTCTATTTTCTTCCTCTCAGTAGCACGCATGAGGCTAAATGAAAACGAACAGTATTCCAGACCAGGTCTAACGTACATGCTGAAAAGGCGCATTCTAATGTCCCTAGTTTTAAAGTTCTGAGGATAAACCTGGTCGTTCTGCGTGCTTTGGAGACTATCAAGGCACAGTGCTCCGAGAGATTGAGACTCTTGGAGTATGATATGCCCAGATCCTTAATAACCCTGGCACATTTATGGAGTGACCTTCAATATTTAGTTGAGGTTGGTGGTCGTCGCCAACCACCATGAATGACGTCGCCAACTGACAGTTAGTAGATAAGTTACGCTATCGTAATTTGTACAGATCTGGTGGCCAAGATGGATGTGAGATGAGTTCAGTGAAACATGTTTACTCTGGAGCTTTGGCTGAGATTATAACCGTTCCAGCTCTCTAGCCGCCCTGCAAATCACTTTTTAAATGAAAAAAACCTAAATAAGACTTTCAAACCCAAACTAATACAATCGATTCAAGTCCCGGTGATACCTACTCTATCAAGTTCAACCTAGTCCAAAGATTTATCACATATGCGTGTTAGGCAGTCGAGAGACTGCTGTGAGACTGATAGCGGCCTGGCGGTTAAATATCCTGGCATTAGTGGCCACCACAAAGCAAAACCTCAGGCTGGCAATTGCTTAGAAAATATCAGCTGACAGTCGTGATAATGGAGGATTAGTCGACCCAAATGACAGTTTTTTCGCTAGCGGGGGAGGAAGAAATATGTCCGCACACTGTCTCAGCCGTCAGAATAAACGAAGAATTCGGTGTCCACTACTTCTAACCGATTACCAGAATACCTAAGAACTATACACGGCTAAATTTCATGAAGTTCTTTTCATGAAAACCGTTGAGAAAGATTGACGGAAGACGAAATACGCCTTCGGCAAATCGAAAACGCAAGTAGTTTATATGCACTGGATATAATAAATAAATGTTGCGGGCGCTTTTCGGACTGTCTGTTTTAATTCTTGGGTAGACTAGGTGGGTTCTTGTTCGCGTACGTTTGGGCTTTAGGCATCTTTAGTTATGAAAAAAGAAACGAGCTTCTTCTGAGTTTTATGCTCTACTCTAAGTAAAATCATCTTAATTCTGTTCATCCTTCATATTTTAATGTTCATATCCTAATAAAGTCGGATTTTTCCCCTGATAGCATTTAGGCTCCCAGGGCTAGACATTTACTAGCCCGCTATCAATCTAGTTGACTGACGGTCCGCGTGCGATGCCGGCCGCACGAAAGAATTTCTGCTCAAAGAGATTGTCGAAGAGTCAGCCAATCGCACCCTAGTAGCAATTCCATAGCGAGGTGACGGCGCCTCGCTGTGGAAAAGTCGCGATACAATGACCGATTTATAGTGGATTTTGTCCATGTGGTCGCTATGGAAGCAGTGGCGAAAAGTCGCGATACGGCGCTATGCAGCTGCGGGACGGCATTCCTTAGCGACCTTTCCGTTTTAGCACCTACGAAAGCTCTTTTTCGCACCTCCCATCCGATTGATTACTAAAAGAACTACGGTACCCCCCTCCCTCCCATGAAGGTCGAAGGAAGGCGTTTTGACGAAGTAGAAACAATGATTTATTATAAAAATAAAAAATACAATTATTCTGGGCACTATTCCTCTCGCGGCCGGGATGAGGAGGGTTCTGTTGAGGGTTCTAAACCAAGTATGTGTAATAATACTTCAGTTTCACTTACCATCAGAGTCATCAATAAGAGAATCCGGCCGAGATCGCCTTTTTCGAAGGGCGTCGAGGGACCTCTTCAGCCGCCTTGTGAAGGCGGCTTCCAGTTCATATACGTCGACCCTTCCTCCCTTGTTCCAAGCGTGCATGACTAGCCCGCGACCAGCCGACCAGGCCAGCCGTGCAGGACGACTAAAATGCTATCAGGGTTCTATATTTTATATTCGAATTAAACACAAAAGCGTTAATTGGATCGGATCCCATTATTTATCAATGCTTAGTTGAGTTGAATTTGATCTACATTGTTAATTCTACTGAAATAGGGTTAGAATGTCCACATGGCCACTAACGCTCACGAATACAGAGCATTCCATTCGCGTGGCTCCGCCAAAAGAGCGTCAGTTGACAGGATCCCTTTAGATTTTTCAGACCACGCGTCAGGTGCCATGTTCCGGAAACGCGCTTCTTCGTCAGAAGAGGGAGTCTCGATTACTCCAGAACTGCAGGACACGAAAATACCCCAAAACGACGGCGTTTAATCGAACGGACGCAATTTCCGCCTATTCTCCGCAATTTGTTGTAACTGTTCTTTAAAAGCATGCTCAACACGCCACTTAAGTGTTCTCTTTGATATTGGCTTCCAAATTCTAACAAAAAACACCAAAGGGTTAATTTTGAAAGTCAAGTAGAACAACTTCAGAGCAGTTACTGCGTGCGCGCGCGAGGAGCACTGTTTCGTCCGATCTATTTGCCAATATTCATTCGCACAATCATTTGCGCCATTAGCGACGCGATCCACAGGGACGGTGGGAACCAATTTTCACCAGCGATTGGATGGAGAGGCTCTAATCTAGAATAGCCTTTCCTTGCTATTAGGACTATTACTTCAAACCTCTCATCCCGACCCCATTCTTCACAGGGGCCTTTCACCTCACCCAACGCATCGCCGATGTATATGTCCTAAATGTGGTAGTTGACGATCGCAGTGGTAGTTGACGATCGTTGCTGACAGTGCCCAGTATATGCCTCAAAAATGGCGGGCGCAGTGACGGCTTGTACTGATAGCGGACTTGTGCTGCATCTACCGCGCTCCCTCCCTTCATTCACCTGGGCCTGATGTCAAGACATAGTCAGAAGTACCGAAGGCAAGATCAGGCGCAGATGGTTGGCACGGCGCGAGCCTGCATCTAGGTGCGTCGCCACGCCTCCATGCATAACATTTGCTGTCGGTGCACAGCCCAATTACAAGTACGGGAACTCCGTGTTGGTCCAGCGCATCTCCTGCGATGCTCGTAGGGGCCATTGCCTGCGGTATAATCAGGCACAGTAAAGTGGCACTGTTGATAGCCTACACTGCATGAAGATGTTTATGAAGATAGAGTTGCTGTATGTTACATCCACATATTACTTGAGTGAGTGCATTTAATTTACAGGCTGTACCCTTCTTCAGTCGTATATGCATCTTAACCTCGATCTAAAACTTCGAATTTGCCTGCCATAGTTCTATCCTGGACGGACATATTCTATAGTTCATAGATGTTTTGGCAGATTTTGAATAATTCATATTGACCCAACTGTGAAAAACTCGGCGCCTCGGTGGGATTCGAACCCACGCAGTAAGGGAAGGCTTTAGTACAGCCAATGCCTTAGACCATAACACCAAACCCAACCCTAGTCCTGACCTTGTCGCCCTACCACTAACCCTAACGTCCCTCGGTGCGGTGGTCGTGTGCGTCACTTGGCCGCCTGAGCATAACTTGTGATAACAAGGCCTATGTCAACTTATACCTGCATGGTACAGCCAGGACCATGCCTGATCTATCCGGTCTTTATGATGTCGCGAATGTACCTCTCCACGCGTAACAATTTGTAGTGGCGTATCTGGAGAGCTCGGTCATCTATTTTTCAGCGACGGAGACACTGTACTGTTCCAAGAGCCACTTTAGTGCCTTGGCTAACTACATTGAGCTGGATTCTGAGTTAAACTCCTCTTCGACCCTTCCAAGCGGACAACGATGCCGGATCAAGAACAGCAACACCGAGCTCGTGAGGCAGGTAATAAAGAACTTGTCTATATAATCCCAGTTGTCTTTGTACGGCTGGAGATATCCTAGCGATGTTGTCACAGAGAGTGCGGATTGTCTTATTCGAAACCAAGTCGGCGTACTTCACTCGAAAAATGGTTGTCAGACAGCGGTAGTCAGACAGCTGCAGTTTTTGCTCATTTCGTACTCGCAGTCCGACATTCACAACCGCTCTACTTGCGAATCCTCGTGGCGACGAACATGTCGCGTCGAGTTTATAGATACTTTCCAAGAATTATGAAAACCCTGCAAACAGCATCGATTCAGAGGCGATATCGTCCTCACTCTGTCCACTCAATAACAACCTTACCTCGAGGTACTTGAAATTGTCTACTTCAGGTTGGCGGCCGTCAGTCCCATGAAGTGTCTTCACATTGTCAGGAATGCAACTCGAAAGCATCTTGTTCTTAGCAACTTCAACTCACTGGATGCTGCAGTCGCCTCTAGCCGACTTTTTCGTCAGTTTTCGAAGTTGGCGGAGAAAACATCGTTGCGAGACCTGATGCGAGCCTTCTAACTAGAAAATACAAGATAATTCCGCTGATCCACTCACTGCGGCGCCGCTGGGTTAATTTAAGAATTTCATCACTTGTCTCGTGACCTCAATGATGACCATTTGTTACCATCTTCTCTTTCGACTTGGGTCGTAAAGTTACCGGGTTTCCGTGCTCGGGGCCTCGGCTGTGCTGGGTTGACATAGTTTTGTGACATCAAGGCGTTTTGCACGTGACAATTTTGGTATGGACGAAAGATAAGCTTTTGGCTTGCGCGAATGAAATCATAGTCTGTCCCACGGACTTTGCTGGCTTCGGCACCACGCATCGTTCTATCATGAAACCAACCACAGAACTGCGAACGGACTAAAGTGCAGTCAACCTGACCGGTCTTACGATTATCGTTCAAATATAATGTCAACAAATGTTTGTGGCAATCCTGGAAGCATATGTTGGTTGAAACAGTTCGTTCTGGTTAACAGGGTTCAGCATTCTCTTCATTGTCGCACCGATAGCCAAGCCTAACACCTTATGCCGTCTTCGGTCACTCTCAATACCGATGGGGCGTTTGTCCAACTCCGAGAAGAAGAATCCGCAGGAAATGCATCCAATCAATACAGGCTGGAAAGATGATCCCTCTAGCTTGGTTCATTAACACTATCGGATCCCTTAACTTCCCGTAAAATCGCACTATTTAATCTTCACAACTGTTCCGGTAGTTTTCTGTGTACGTTCACGTATTTTCCACAAATATCCTTCCGCACCATCCATCAGCTGGATCATCTGCGCATTCTGCATTGAAAATGCCGTCGCCCTTTACTGCTAGTTCCTTTAGGTGCTCAATGTCAGTTGTTTTGACTACGACGAAGGTGTCATCGACATAACGAGCCCAGAACTTTGGTTGATACCCAATGAGCACAAAGTGTTCTGATAGAAGCGAACAGGCGAGTCCCAGGTAGCAGTTCAGAAGATGAAGATGCGACCACTGGAACAAGAAGTTTATTTGCCTGACGTTTCGGATTCTCACTCGAATCCATCATCAGAGACATTTGCCTGACCTCTATCTGCGAATGTCTCTGATGATGGATTCGAGTGAGAATCCGAAACGTCAGGCAAATAAACTTCTTGTTCCAGTGATCGCATCTTCATCTTCTGAACAAAGTGTTCTATCCGTTGAAGAACTACCTCAGCGATTAGGCCTGATAGAGGGGAGCCCATAGGAGTGCCTTTTATTTGTTCGCACCTTTGTCCACCAAAGCCTGCCTCAATGGAATGTCAAAATGTGACTCAACTGGCCTCAGGCCTCCCGAGCAGTCAAGTCGAGTGTAGAGGCAACATGCAGGAAACAGACGTGGGCGATTTGTTGGCAACAGTGTTCGAAGGTTCAGCTGGGAGAGAAGTGCTGATGAAGGCACCCTCGTCGCGGCCGAGCTTTGTTCCTCTTCACGTCTGCGCGTCACGGTGAGAGTGGAAGCGCTTGAACAGGATGGCTTAGATTCCAAGGAAACCAGTGTTAGGATAGTTCTCTTTTAACAATCTTTTGTCGCAGTCGAAGATCGGTAGGACGACAAAGTGGCTCTAGTCTATGAGTACGGTTCCTGCTCTCTGAATGTGGGTCTGAAGGCCATCTTCTCCCTCGCCTATCGCTGCCGAGCAGCCCTTGTAGGTTTCCATCAGTCACTGTTGTTCTTAAATTGCATTGTCGTTCCTAGGTGGATGGCGGGCTGGAGTCACAGCCCTATTCCAATGCTAGAATGTTTTCAAACTGGGCTTCGACTGAGGGGATTGAATTTGCCGGATCTGGAAGTGGGAAAAAAGGTTCGCCCCATCATTGGGGGGGAGGGGGGATTGTGTCTGCCAGTGTTATCATTGTTATACCCCGGTTTTCTCAGGTATTTGAAGCAGACAGGGTAGAAAATTGAACCATCCCCGAAATCTTGCGCATCCGACTGCTATCACCCTCAGCTTAGGCGCAACCCACGTCCTGAGCAGCTTTGATCTAGAGTCCGTCGCAGCCCTGTCGACCAAAATGCGTGGCCTATCGACGAAATTCTCCAAGTTTGAGCCACCGCGGAGTCATTCAGTGTTCGCACTATAAGCCAGTCAGATCGCTTCGTCGGAGGTCCGGTTCTTGAGGTAACACCTGCCGCGGTCTAACCTCCTAAGGGGTACCTTGGAGAGCATGCTACCGTCCGAGTCAATTGTCTTCAACCAGAGACGCCAACTGAGGCAGCTGTTATCTGCGTCCGTCAGTGGCTTTAACTACCGCGACAAACTGGACTAGATGCATGCTATCAGCACCACGGTGACATTTGCTCCGATCATGCTCTTATGGGGAGTCCACCACACTTTGGAATACGTTATCGAAGCGGCATGACCACAGGCCCGGAGGCTTGTTCATTCCACGTCCTGCCACGCGTAGACTTGTTGGGTATTCAGTGGCTAGGTTAAGAGACAGTCACGTATTCCATCGATGTATCCCTAAACTCCGGAAAGACCCAAGCGTTCTCAAGCTCTTCTACGGTCATGAATGCTGGCTGTGCGCATGGACTGTGTTTGACCACCGTTGCCTGACGACCAATCTTCCAATAAAGTACGTTAACTTGGAGATAGTCAGCACTGCTTGCGACAACATTACGAGGATATCTCAAGCCGTCCAAGAAAGACAACTGAGGTGGTTTGGGCAAGTTCTTCGTTGTCCATTTCATGAGCTCAGTTATACTGTCCTCGATCCGGCGCCGTTTCCCGCTGGAAGGCGTCGAAGAGAGGGCCAACTCAAGACCTGACTTGACACAGTTCGTTAAGACGTGGAAGTAGTTGTTAAACCTTCGATATTCGCAGGAGAAGAGAATGGACCGAGCTGCTCAGATCCGTTGTCGCAAATCGTCAAGCTCGGAGGCGTACAATCCATGACACTCTTGAGGCCGGCAAGATCAGACATGATCACAGCTGTACCAAGTACAAGAGACATACATTATCTTCCTGGGATTTCTTTTCCTCCAGGAAAACGTATTTCCTATCATTGGCATAGGCACTATAAAATCACTTGCGGGGCCCCCGTTGGTCACAATGCCAAATACATACTTGTACCGACCACCGTTACTCCAAGCCTTATCGCGATGCGTATTGAATGGTTACGGTGTAACTGCACTTGCGCCTTTCAGAACGCCTTATTTACTCCCCACCCGGCCTGTTTACTGCCTAAATGCACTACCCGCCTCCCTGGCGGCAAGATTCTCTTTCACGGCGCCCTGAGGTGTTAATAGATGCTGGATGTGCGGATGTCAAGTGCGTTTCGGTTTTTGACCATTTCAGCATGCCGGATGCCTTCGGTTCCGCGGAGACACCCACGAAGTTGCCCAACCATCCCACCGCGGTAGCCACACCCTCAGGAAGTCACATCTTCAATCCCTTTCACGAAGGATTCATTAGTCAGCTCAGCCATGTCGCGGTAACACCCGGCATCTTTTCACGTCAGCGGGGATCACGCGGACAGAATCCGTCTGCCGGCACACCATCCAGATCGGCTGTACCGTTTGTCTGGTCGCCAGAGGTTCAAGGCGATCTGTTTCCCACTGAAATTGACGAAAATCCAGCCCTCCAACTGAAACTCCAGGAGATTTTGGATGCTGATGTAGGCGTTTGCTGCTGCCTGCTGGGCCGTAGTATTTACAGCTCTATTTCGAATTTCTTTGTTAATAGGTTATGGCGTTGTTTTTTTGTCAGGTGACTTTATGGTTCTTCCGTTGTCCTCCCCTCCCCCCTAGAACGATGAAATGGCACAGAACGCCATCAACAAGTTTTTCCAGAGTCATCTTATTGCACCTAGTCCGGACGTAGTTCCAAATCCATCTCCCCACCGTAAGTCTTTGTTTGACATATTTCGCATCACCATTTGTTCTCATGATGTTCCATTATTTGTTGAAGATGGTAAATGAACTATGGTCTTTTACGCCAAGTTGTAGAAGAAGTTGAGAATCGTCTCGACATCCTCTGCGCTGACTATTCATCTGATTGTACTGACTTGCACTCAGCTTTAAAGGGGTCACCAGACAGATGGGTCAGCACACTTATGCTTTCCATAGTCCTCAGCAGGCTAATACAGTCATGTATATATGCATAAATATATATAATGGTAGGGAGTGCTCACCGATCGTTCTTACGGAACTCACTCGTTCCGTTGTGCCTTACGGGCTCTCTCTCGAGCCCAACCAGCAGCCGCACAGCGGCGCATGATATAGGCAGTATGTTATTACCGACAAAGGCGTGGACTTCTAATTAACAGGTCGCGAGTTCGAGCCTCGGGTGTTCCACACTTCGGGGTTGGGTATGACTGGCTGACGATTGCTAATAAGCCAGAAATGGCCATTCCAGTCTCCCTTGTCTTTGTCGGTAATAGCATACTGCATATAGAGATATATAAATGTAAGAGAATATGCGCATCGCAGGTTCATGTTTAAAAGAAGTCGAAGGCACGATCACTGGGACAGTAGTTTTATTGGCCCGAGCTTTCGAACTCGAACTGGAGTTCATCATCAGAGACTGCTAGAGTGCAGCAACGTGTGAAAATTTATATCGCAGTTCTATGCGGGGGGGGGCTACGCCCGTGGCTAGGTCTGGTTTGTGCCGCCTGTCCAACGATGGTCCCCCGGCGTGGTGACGCCGTTTGTACTTCGCGACGATGTGAGCTACACCACCTGGCTGCGTGGGCGGAATGCATGATAACACGCAGGCAAATCGATGTGTCTATCGATAGGGTTGGTGTCCGACACCCACGCCTCCAGCAGTTCTCGCCCCGTCTTGTTGCCGGCTCGCGCCAATATCCGCGTGTTGGCGAAGTCGAACTCATGGCCTTCCTCCAGCTTCTGAGTGGCGACTTGAGATAGTGGGTCGGCTCTTCGAACGACCCGTTTGTGCTCAAGTATTCGCGAGCTGAGACGGCGTCCTGTCTGGCCTGTGTAGTGGCAAGGACAGTTTTGGCACGGGATTTGATAGACTGCGCCCGACTGTTCACCTGCGTCCAGCCGATCCTTCATTTTCATGATCCTGCTACGCATGGTAGCTGCCGGATGATGAGCGATGCCCACGCCTAGCTCTGACGCATTGCGTTCTCCCTTGTCTTTGTCGGTAACATCCCATTTACCTCTATTACTAGTCGCCGTGCGACTGCCTGCGAGGGTTCTAGTATGAGTCCCAGAGCATAACGGAACGAGCATGTTCCGTTACCTGATCGGTGTGTTGCTAATTGAAGCGGAAATTCTCACCCGGGCGTGAGTTAGAAGGTAAGGCGGTCACGATAACCATGATTTGATTGTCCTGGCGTTCCGAAAGCAAGCTACCTGGTGCGGCACATCACAATATTTAACAGGTGTTGTGTTCGTTCTGGCGTGCCTCTGACTTCAATGTTGTCTGTGTGCGTTGCACCGTCGTGTAAAGAAATGTTGTCATGAGGACATAGACTGTTCGTCACCTGCTTGCCGGGAGGGGAGGGGGGAGAGGGGAGGACATAGGAATAATCACGGCGGTTGCACTCGTTCGCACTGCCCGTATTCATTGCCCGTGCCCTGCGTACCTCGTTTTACCCGTTCGCGCCTGTTCGTAAACGCGTGAACGGCGCTTGCCACGCTAGTGTCGACCTCCCGGGTGACGTCAGACTGGAAATTCCCATCACTACCACTCATTCCCGGCTTGTGCGCGCCTCTGCCTGTGTTGAAGTCAAATACCTTCTTTGGAAAAAAAGTAGTTTATTAGTCAAATTTTCCAATTCCCCGGGTCGTCATCGTCAGGCGCAGAGCAAGTATGTCAAAATCAATTTACATAAGTTTGCGTCAATGAGCAGCCGCCGTGTGTCATTCTGTTCAGCTTGACTCTCCTCTCATTTCTCCCTGAGATTTTTGTACTCAGCATCCAACTCACTATGCCGGTTGATGCATTATTCACCTGATTGCCTTGCCACGAGAAACTCCTAACAGGGTAGACACCGAAAACGCGAGTTTTCATCCCAAGCGAAGGTGTATCCAGTGTCCAGGGTATGCATGACTACTTGATACAGGCAGTCTCACCTCTTTATTGCCAACTGACGTTCGTGAATGCGTGAATAGGCTGATTTCCCTGTTTCACCACAGTAAACTGCATCACAGGCCTCACAGGGAATCTTGTGGACGACCTCCTTCTTATCCAAATGGCTAACCCTATCCTTAGGGTTTACAATTTGACTGGGTAATCTGATCGTCGGTTTGTGTGCAGCGTGAATTTGTTGTTTCCCTAGGTGTCTTTCAACTACTTCAGACACATTCTTCGTGTGTGCGTTAAGGCATGTGCGAATCATTTTTTAAAGTAGGCATGAGACAGCAGGAGTCAGAACAAAAGAAACCAGGTAGCCCAAACCAAGTACCAAGTACTTGGCTTCCGCTTCTGAAAGGTTTCACTGCCAGCTCTTTAAGGACTCGTTGTAAGTTGTAAATATTGATCTGTTTGCAGTTTCCCGGTCTGACTGCTTTTTGCAACGGAATTAGTCCCATAAATGACCTTCGTTGGGTAGGTCACGTGCCGCGGAGGTCTTATGAGCGTCCGCCACATCGTGCGGATGACGAGGAGAGGAAGCAAGTGGCCATTGAATATTGAGCAAAAACAGCAGAACGCCCACTATCTCACTGTGTGGGGGGGGGGGCGGGGTCGGATTCAATCTGATTGACTAAGGTGTCTTTGACCGACCACCCGCGTAGACGCGCACTTTTAATTTTGAATAATGACTTTGCAAGGCAAGTCACGAGACATTGAGCGGAATTCAAGCGTGTACCTGATAGTAAATAAAAACCATTAATAAACCCGGCCTTGTCATAATACCTTCTCAGCCCCATCTGGAAAGCTCGCTGCTTCTCTGTCACATATTGTTCGATAATTTTCGTTTTGCAGATACATGCATGAGATTAATCAGGAGAATCGGCTGTAAGTTCATTCGTTGTAGGGTGTTTCGTGAGAAATTGCTTCACGTGCAATTTTTGTGACTAAAAGGATCTACGCCAGTTTCAAAAATTGTAATTATCGTTGAAAAGAGGTTCAATAGTCGAGTAACGAGGCGTTCTTGTTATGTTGCACACTGGGGCTCACTATGGAGCAATCCCATGGCGACTAATACTTATGCGGGAAGGAATACTGACGAAGTCAAGGGAGACCGGAATGGCCATTTCTGGCCAAGTCGCCATCGTCAGCCAGCCATGCCTAACCTCAGGTGTGGGCCACTCGAGATTCGAACCCGGGATATTTGGTCATGGAGTTTGGCACTCTACCAATGAGCCACGGGCCCATTGTCCTGTCGGTTGTGATTGGGAATATATATATATATATATATTTATGATAGTGGGCGCTCACCTTGTCTTTGTCGGTATTACCTTTCCAACATATATATATATATATATATGGATAAGCGAAAATGCTGACTCCAGGTGTTAAGATGGAAGAACGTAAGGCGCTCTCTGGGGAGGAGATCGCCTTACCTTCTCCCATATATATACATACATATGCATACATTATGACAGATGGGCGCTCACCGATCAGGTTAGAGAACATGCTCGTTCTGTTGTGCCTTGGGGATCATACTAGAACCCTCGCAGGCAGTCGCACAGCGACTAGTAGTAGACACAGATGAGATGATAACGACAAAGACAAGGGGGGCCGGAATGGCCATTTCTGGCTTATTAGCCGTCATCAGCCAGTCATACCCAACCCCAAGTATGGATCACTTGAGATTCGAACCCGGGATCTTTGGTCATGGAGTTTGACGCTCTAGCATTGAGCCACGGGCCCGTTGTCCTGTCGGTTGTGATCGGGAATATCAATTATGACAGTGGGCGCTCGAATCTCAAGTGATCCACTCTTGGGGTTGGGTATGCCTGGCTGATGACGGCTAACAAGCCAGAAATGGCCATTCCGGTCTCCCTTGTCTTTGTCGGTATCATCTCATCTGTGTCTACTACTAGTCGCTGTGCTACTGCCTGCGAGGGTTCTAGTATGAGCCCCAAGGCACAACGGAACGAGCATGTTCTGTAACCTGATCGGCGAGCGCCCACTGTCATAATTGATATTCCCGATCACAACCGACAGGACAACGGGCCCTTGGCTCAATGCTAGAGCGTCAAACTCCATGACCAAAGATCCCGGGTTCGAATCTCAAGTGATCCACACTTGGGGTTGGGTATGACTGGCTGATGACGGCTAATAAGCCAGAAATGGCCATTCCGGTCTCCCTTTTCTTTTCGGTGTCACCTTATCAACAAATACCACTAGTCGCTGTGCGACTGCCTGCGAGGGATCTAGTATGAGCCCCAAGACACAACAGAACGAGCATGTTCTGTAACCTGATCGGTGAGCGCCCATCTGTCATAATACATATACATATATGTGTGTGTATTCACTCAGGAATGGACGCGCACAGATGCATCGGCTTCCCGAAGCAAGCAATCTTCGTATGGGTAATAGGGGGTCTCGAGCAGGCAACCACCCACCAGGCCGAAGTCGGCCAAGCTATGACAGCAAAGGGGAGATGACAGAGTTTGGAGGGTAGGTTGGCACAGAACTGTTTCGAGCTTGTTTGCCTTCATTCAGCCAACCACGATATTTACCACTAGTTGGACCCCGTCAGTATGGATCTAACCAATCAAGACAGCGGACTTCGTCTTTTAACCTGAGATTCGAACTCGAATTCTTTGACCAGCGCTTTACCATTATTAAGTCATGAGCTCGTCCTGACGGTTGTGGTTGGAAAACTAGCTGTCGTTAAAAAGGACTAATAGGTTAGAAATGGCGTACTTACTTGTGGGCAGGTAAGTCGTAACCTGGTTGTTCCCCTCGAAGTATTTGCCAGAAGCGAAATTTTATGCATTATTTTGTAGAAATGGGATTGCACTTTCACAGGCGCCAAAAACCACTATGGTTGAGCCCCCAGTCTTGCGTGAAACAATAATTACAAATAGCCTCCTGCCAAGCATCATGCAGGGTTAAAAACTTAGGAGGAATCGTTTGACGGGATGGTCGCTCTGACATTTCTCCAGTGGGTCTGATTTTAATGCCGATTTCGTTACTTATGTACATTAAAAGGTCCCAATGGCCGAGCCGTCCCAATAACAGACTGTTGCCGTAAGAATAATCCTTAAATTTTCCGTATCCAATGACACCGTTGCAACCACTGTCACCTTTTTCGTTTATCTTTGTGCAGGATCAAACCGGAGTCCCACCCGCTTTGGTCTTCCGAGGACTTCGTCAATTATACCCACAGGCAAGCAGATATCTCTGCCTTGGTGTTTGTCGATAGAGCCTTTAAATATCTGTCGCCGTTTTTTGAATCATTTGTTGTCCACAGTTTTGTACTTCCGCAGTGCCTTGGGTCGTGCTTGTTTGTCCGGCTAGCCACCTGAATACCCTTCCTTTGTAAAGTTTTCTCAAAAAGGGTAGATCTCCCTCCTTTCCTGTGCCGAGACTTTCCAAGTCAAAAAATGTAGCCTTCCTGTGCCGACCGGAAGCTTAGACTGGCCACTAATGGCCATTTACTTGCAGGGCTCCGTAGCCCTGTGAGTGAGCTTAATTACTCTACCTTTGCGACTGTTCAGACGTTCCCCACAAACAATCAGGATAGCGATTCCCGGTCTGTCGTTTTCTGCGTCAATCCTTGTTAACGTAGTTCTAAAATTGCGCACGTCGTTAAAACCACCCAAGATTATGGATTTGGAAACATGCAATTGCTACTGAAATCATGACAGTAACAATTAATGCAAGCGGTTAATTTCTGTAAGATTGGACAGTTGAAAGGGGTTCCGACAAAGACAGTAGAGACTAGAATGGCCGTTTCCGGCCTATTGGCGGTCATTAGCCAGCCACAGCAATCCCAGGTCTGGAGTACCTCGGATTCGAGTTCGGGAACTTTGGCCATTGAGCTGAACGCTCTATCATTGGGCCACGGACCCGTCGTTCTGTTGGTTGTGATGGGGAATATCAACTATGTTGGAAGTGCCTTCGTCTATTGAGTTACAGGACGAGAATGTCCCGCCCGCTGACGATCCTCTCCAATTCCACGGCTTCCTCCTCCTCTTCCTCAAACACAAAACTCTTGCTCTTAGCAACAATTGACGGAATCCCACCACACTCGCTGGAACGACAGAACTACCGACTTCGCTGTCAATACTTTGATACTTTGAAGGACTAATCATCTGCAAGGAGGCTGAAAGCGGTGTTGTCGACAAAGATTAGGAAATGCTGAAATATCTTTAGCAGCCAGTGATACCCCGAAGCTAGGTTCCGAAATATCCAACACTCGAACCCCGACCCAGCCGGTGGGGCACTCCGCCCATTTCACATTCAAATGTCCTTTGAAAATGGTCTTTTCGCCTTATTTCAGGTACACCCAAGGGGAAGGGGAGCGGTAGACCCGAGGGAAGTGCCATTATGATGACAGACGGTATGTCCCACTTTTTTTTCCAATGACTTCTCTAAACCCCGACCTCTTCCACTCCTCTTCATGTCATCATGGAGAAACGCCCATTGTAGTGAATCCGACACCTATCCTTTGCTGACGGTTAAAATGATAGGCCCGAACATGGCATCATTGGCTCCGCGTTTGCTTCTGCTAGTCGGAGGGGTGGAAGGTTCCCTTTCTACCGTAACCAACGGTGAGAAGTTGTTGATCAGGCTACAAAAGTCTTGCGTTCTCTGACCGATTATCGACAAAAGTGGCGTGAGTAGAGTCTCTGATGCTAGGTAGCCAAGACTCACCACTGCGAGTATGACAGACCAAAAAGGAGTTAGGAAGAAATCTCTCTACAATTCCAGTGCTGGGCAAAACAACTGCCACGTGGCCTTTTCATCTGCCTCTCTTGTTTAAAAGCGAACTTTATTTGCTTGTTTTTTCGACTCGCACAATATGCAGCCTGGACTACTCCAGCTTCATCTACTACGGAAAGTCGGGCGCCCATTTGCGAAGCCCAGAACGGACGCCAACCCTTGCCACACTCTAAGGCCATTATGTAGATTTTTCTCAGAGGAGTATGCATACTCCTGTATGCGCACGTAAACACTCAGCACTGTTTAATTTACGGGTCCATGTGGGTACTTCCGTAAGCTCACAAAAAATAAATTTAGTCAATGCCACGCGAGATTTTCGTTTGTCGACCTGCCGTGACTACAGAAAGAAATACCACTTTCTACAGTAGGTGGGCTAACTCATGAAATGTCAACCGAGATTCCGAAATGCGTTTTCGTCTCGAAAAGATTAATTAAGAAGGGCTGTAAAACTACTCATGGTGCGTCTTAATTCTATAATATTTCAGTTACGTCAGGATGCCGGCTTTCGAAAGAACTTCCTTCCGGCTGCACGGGAAAACCTCGCTCTGAAAAAATGACTATTTAAGTAGCATAAATTTTTCTCATTGATTTTCGATGCCCTTAAAAGTTTCATTATATTTCATGGAAAACATGCATAAAAATATTCATTCCTCATTCGGTAGATAATTATGTCTTCTAATTTTATACTCGAAGAAGGGACATAATTCGGTTGTAAAAAAGGTTTTACAATTCACAAATAATTTTGAACCCGCTCCAACGTCACACTTGGATTCAGGGTTCCCAAACTACGAGCTGTATATTTTCCGCATACGGAAAACCACGCATTTCTCTACGGTAATAAAGGGGAACCATATAGGGTTCATAAAATTTAGCAGTGGATTTGATTCATATTGTTAACTTCACAAGCCACATTGGTAAATGCATAGATATGACGATTTATGAACGGCCATTTCACGGTATTTAAAAGTTCCACAATTAGAAACTTTTTTAAAACCAAATTATGTCTCTCCTTCGAGTATAAAATTAGAAGACGTAATTGTCTATTGAATGAACAAAAGAATGAATATTTAATGCATGTTTTCTTTGAAATAGAATTGGACTTTTAGGGACATCGGAAATAAACGAGAAAAATTCATGCTACTTACGTAGTCACTTTTACAGGGCGTGGTTTTCGCATGCAGCCGGAAGAAAGTTCATTGGAAAACCGGCATCCCGAGGTAATTAAAATATTATAGAATCATGCTGCACGATGATTGGTCTTACAGCCCTACTTAATTAATTTTTTTCTAAACGAAAACACATTTTGGAATTTCGGTTGACATTTCATGAGTTAGCCCACCTACCGTATTCTTCACAGACGGTTGCACAGCGATGAACAGTTAGTAACGACAGGCCCAGAAATGGCTGTTCCTTGCCCGCCTGTCATCGTCAGCTAGTCGAAGGTGCGGTCGTTGCACAAAGAGGGCAGTATTTATAGGACGCAGTTGCCATGCCCTAACACACTTACTATAATTAGTAGCTCTCCCGTTCATCGCTGGGGCGTCGTACCTTGTGCGACGATTTCTTGTCAGTCAGAGTCCGGGTCGTTAATTGCTGCAATTTAATCACCATTGTCTATTCCTGGCGTGATAACTACTCGTAGTTGAAGTTCCTGGTCCTCTCGACCTCGGGTTGCAGCATGGCTGACTTCTGACGGCAAATAACAATCTCAAGTGGCTTTTTAGCTTCTCTTGTCGTTACTGGTAAACAGAATTCCAGCCAGTCTAGTTATTAACACAAAACACAAGTCAAGTTACAGGTAAGACACGGGAGAAATCTCAATTGGTAAGTCCTAGGGGACATGGTGATGTATGTAGCAACGGGAAACGTCATAGGTTGGAGGGTGATTAATCGGCACTTGATAATTCTAATCACGCTTCTGTGACCCTGAAAGTTAGCTCTTCACGCGCAAGTTGCGTGATATCTAGGGCTCAGTACGGGAAGCATGTAGTCCTAGCTTGATTTGTTGAGGAATCGTCTCGTGTCCACTTTTCATAGAATGCGTTAAGTTTTTATAAAGAAATCCTTAATAAACATAACACTGTCGAATATTTCTGCTTTTCTTCTGTTTCGGCAATGCCTCATCCGCAGGTGGTGTCCTTAAATCTGTGCTCTTGACTTTGGTAAGAACATTGTAATGGAGAAGTCAGTATCAACAGGGACAATGGGTGGGACGGACGTTTCTGGCCCATTAAGCATCATCGGCTGACCACGCCCACCTCCAAGTCCGGGTGGCCTGGAATTTGAACTCCGTTTTTTTGTTTATTGGGCGTTAAGTAGTCCAATACTACCACCGAGCGACGGACCTGCTGTCCTGTTGGTAGTGTTCGAGAATATTAATTGTGAAGGAAGGGCGTTCACCGTCCCCGCTTCTATGAGACTGTCGACAAAGGCACAAAACTGAGCCTCAAGGTACAACGAAGCGAGCATATCCTGGAACCTGGTCGGTGAACACCCTTCCACCACATAGCTTATAGTTTTTGAGGCATCTCTCCCACCACGCGTAAAGATACTCCGATCCTTCTGCGGGCCCTTCTCAGACATGGCTGACTGAGACGTGGAACTGACTATTTTAACAAAGAGCTTGCTAAATCCGATCCTTTTTTCATAAGCGCCAGTTTTGACCGTGATTCCTAACTGACCTAAACTTCGTCAGTCACCGAGGCAGAGATCCACGGCGACTCTCGTCAATAACCTGTTCTTCAGCGAATGCACTCCATGTCAACGCCTATTGCAGTGGTCAGTGAGCCTTTTCGTTTCAGTTGAGGTACAGACAGGCATCTCCATTCGTCCCGACACTGATCTCGTCACCCTGCTGGAGAGGGCTATGCAGCTGGACGGGGGGCCGACCGCCCCTGCGGAGGACCAGACAGCCCGCGTCGAACCCACCGATGCCCGTTGGAGCAGCAGTTGTGGCCTGGTGCTGACCGAGGGTGCCGCCACGCACATTGGCAAATCCTATCCCCACAGTAGCCTCTTTCTCTGCTTGGCCTGCCAACAGGCCCACTCAATAAATCGATACCGTCGGCGCAGTCTTTTCGTCGAGACCTTGGACCCCATAAACGATGTCCCGTAGGTCTTTTTTCTTGTTATGACTGAGAGAGGGTGTTTGTAAGGCAGCATGCATTCAACACCGATAACGTGCGTTTTAGTTGTCTCCAACCACCACCACCACCACCACCACCACCACCACCACCACCACCACCATCATCATCATCATCGTCATCATCATCCTCCTCCTCCTCCTCCTCCTCCTCATCATCATCATCATCATCATCCTCATCATCATCCTCCTCCTCCTCCTCCTCATCATCATCATCATCCTCATCCTCATCCTCCTCCTCCTCCTCCTCCTCCTCCTCCTCCTCATCATCATCATCATCATCATCATCATCATCATCATCATCATCCCGGGAAGACCGGATCTGGCTGCTTACCAACCGGTGCGCCCATAAATGGCGGCTAGTGGAGCTGCCAGACTCTGGTTCGACGGACAAGCAGTCGCGGGTGATGCAGCGGCAGTACCCTCTGGCGGGACTGAGCATCAACCTGACAAATCGACTGTTTGCCAAAACGGACGCAAGTAAAAGCGGTGTTGTCATCTGGCGAATATAGCCCGCCATGCAGTGAGGCTTGCCTCGCTACCGTCACCATCTTGAGGCCTCAAAATTGGTGTGCCATAGGGGTAGGTGTACTATGCCACTGCAGATCATTGCTTCGCAAAAACGCTCTAAGGGACACCCCTGTCTAATTAGACAGGAATTATCCCGGGATTTTTAGACAACCAAAGAGTTGTTGTCCGCGTGGTCGTTTGGGCTTTCTGAAATCCAATGTCGCTTAGAGGCCCAACAACGGTGACATCCGCCAGCGTCACTGTGCTGCTTTCGAACATTATCTGCCAATCTCAGACTTAAACGCAATACTTGGCAAGCCTTACAGGAAGGCTAATAGGATCTACTTGCCCGTACAAACACTCTACCTGAAGGTGGGCGATGTGTTACCCCTGGTGAACTCGAAATTTTGAATTAAAGGAACCTGCACTATTTCACCGGTTAGGTCCCCTTGGTGTTATTCTCGCAAAAAATGACCGTTAGGTCTCGGAGAATGGGGCTTTGGTGGAAGTTGGTGTGTAAGCATCGTTTGTTTATTCGAGTGCCCTAATCCCTAACCAAACCGAGACACTTTTTTAAGGGACCCTATGATAATCCTGAACTGCCCTCGCACGTTGTCATTGTCTGCAATTCCTGGACCAAATAAGTGTATGGATGAAACATTTATGACCTCCCCTCGTAAAATCGTATGTATGTTCCTTACCTTGTCCTTTTGGGGTAGCAAGGAATGTCGAAGTGTTTGTGACGCCATAGGCGACAAACCAGACAGGGAATAAAGGCACACACGTATTACGGGGTCCAGAATCACTAAACGAAAGACGGGGATAGCGATATGGCTAAGGTTAGCGTCGCGGGGATCTAACGTCGGCTCTGATTCCATGTGACCGCGGCTGTAGGCTGCCATCAGGTGCCATACGCACCATGTATAAATAAGTATTCCAACCTACCTGAATAAATTAAGTAGTAAGGCAATAAGTGTGAAATGTCCTGGGAGGGTGATAACTTTACCTCTGGTTTCTCCCCTGCTGACAACGTCTTCCGTGACGGATAAGCTGTATGGGATTTTCGCCGCCGAGGGCGCACAGGACCGAGGCGGGCTTGGTTATGCCCCTCGATTGCTTGACAGATTCCATTTCCTCAGAATGCTCCCATCGGCCTGATCATAATCTGTGATAACGTTCTGGCCTGCTCGAACTTGTTTATTTTTGTGAAGGCAATACCCCAGCCTTCGCGAGTCCTGGCGTTTACGGTATGGTATATAACCCTCCCACTCTTGTTAAGAACACTCCAAACTTGGACATAAAAACTAAGTCCAGGGGACAGAGGACCTTCATCTGCTAGAAACTAGAGCGGCTTTACTGGTCCTGAATTAGTTACCGAAAATGGACCTGGCTGGTGACCGCCCCTCCACCATTATATATATGTATATATCAGAGGGGGGGAGACGACAGAGTCTGGAGGGTAGATTGATAGAGCACTGTTTCGGGCTTGCTTGCCTTCATTCAGCCAATCATAACCCTGACCACCAGCTGGGACCGGAAACACAAACATGCGCGGAGACACCTGGCACAGCTGGTCCACCACTGGGGTCTACCAGATGGGTCATAAGCACTTCATCGGACCGAAGTTCATCAGTGCCTCGCCACCTACCATTATATATATGTATAAATTGAGTTATTGCACTTTTCAGCTTTTGCCGTCCCTCCTTTCCTCTCTTGTCACAGGGGTAATTCTTCCGACGACTGCGCTATCTACCGGCTCTCCCAAGAGCCCGTCTTTCGTCCTGCCGGTCATCTAAATATAGCCTCTCCAGTCGCGCAGGAGCCGCTGACCGAAGAGGAGGAGGCTGCTCTAAGTCTTGGACTGCCTCTGAGCTGGGCTACTGAGTCGTCAGCCTATTGCCAGCAAACTCGAACACACTCCTCATCTCCACCGCTGTCCCCCCTCCCCGCGGAGGCGGGACGTGTACCGCCCGAGCGAGCAGCCGCTGACCTCTCCGTCCACTTTGACCGGGCTGACGTCACACCCATCAAGAATATCTCCATGTCGCTGAGCTCACCGCCGCCGGCGCCGAGCCGATGCTTTCTGCCATTCACACCGATCAGCCCGATTGCAGCAGGGCGAACAAGTCCGGAGGCGCGGGCTTTTCGTCAGCAGTCCATGTCTGTGACCTACGAGGAGGACTTTCAGTCGGCTCTGGAGGAGAGTTTTAGGACATCGCCCAGCAGGCAGCAACGACCCATGGCTAGCCCTCAACTCTCACCAATCCTGCCCAGCTCTCCCGAATGCGGCAGCCCGCCGAGACTGTTGTTACTGTCGCCCTCCCAGCAGAACAAACCATCCTCCTCTCCACCACCCAACTGCTGTTGTTCAACCGATTTCCGTCAGTCTGCTATGATGGATGAGGGCTGAGGGGGCGTTTCGCCGTCGGGACCAGTGTCTCTCTGTCTGGTTTTGTTGGTTATCATCAGTCGTTTCGACAGTCTACCGACAGCCGAGAAAAATCTTTGTACCTTTATTACCAAAAAAAGAAAAAAACCAAAATGCATTTACTCTCTTAGGTAGCCAAGGCCTTAGAACTGCGTCTTGCCACATGGGCGTTCTCGTGCCATTTTAAGTGGTTAGACTAACCGACGTGATGCGTAGATATCCGAGCTGTTGGTTAGATGGGACATTGCATTAGTCACTCTGCGTCGTTATTACCGACAGTTCATCGTTTCCGACGAGGTCTGCCGTGTGCCCTACAGCAGGATGGTGGCTTACGCCTGCGTTAGTTTATGGTGATGACAGACAGGCGTTTGATGACAAATTTGCGTTGTGCCTTTTGTATTGTCTCCTCAACCACCTGGGCCCTGTGCCAAGACAGAGTCAAGAAGACCAGAGGCGGGGCTTGGTCCTGCGCATAGGCGTGCCACCTCACGCCTTAGTCCATGAACAAAAGGACCAGGATTTCGCACGAAAGGGAGATGAAAGGGTGTGACTCAGATCCCAACTGCGTGCAGTGAGTGGCCGATGCCATGAAATGTTGGCCAAAATGCCTTTTTGATCAGGAGGGTTTTCTTAGGCGGGGTTGCAATCTCGATTACCATGGGGGATAATCCTATAGTATTTCATATTCGCTAGGATTTCGGCTTCTAAATGAACTTTCTTGACCTCCTGCAGAACCCACACTCGATAGAAACTGACCACTTGGGCATTATGCATTCACACTGATTTTCGATGATCTTATAAATTGAAATATATTTTATAGAAAACATGCACAAAAGTGTGCTTTCTTTC